TTAAATAATCTATGATAGTGGAAAAAAAATTTTGCCAGCAAAAATGTAAAGATTAAAACATGTAGTGAAGGATATAAGACACTTTCTGAATAATGATAAAAGATGAAAATTGTGCATGTGAAAATTAAAACAAAGCTCAGTAAAGAATTAAAACAAAGCTGAGTAAAGCTGAGTAAAGAATATAAGATTATATAGGTTAACATGTTCACGCCGGCGTGTACCACTGGTGGTACACACTATAAGATTATATAGGTTAAAAATTCCTTGATAATAGTAATAAAATGAAAACCAGCGGATAAATAATATATTAAAAATACTGTAAGACTAACTAAATACAGTAATAAGACTAGATAAATTTTAGCCAAATGGGTGGTTAATAAATAGTTTTTCGGGTGATATTGCAAAAATATGTCGTGATATCAAATGCAGAGTGCCACCAGTTTTTAAAAAATTTCTTTGTTAATTATTTTTAATGAATGAGTTCAATACTTATGCAATTCTTTTGTTACGTAACTCTAACTTTTAATAATAGATAAAAAAAATCATGAACGGGAAGCGGGTGCGATCGCGCTCAATAATTGACCACGGAAATAATATTTAGTTGCAAAAAACCGACCAGATTTTATAGTCATTTTGAGAACATTTCAAAAACAAACAAAAAAGCGCAATAAGATTAACTGGACCGATGAGAGACAGTTAAAAAAAGGAAAATAGCTTTTAACGCGAAAAAAATTTAAGCAAAATAAATTTATTAGAGCAATTTTTTTGAAACGTCGATCTTTTATAATTTTTTTTATAAAATTAAGCGACATTTTTTATATAAAGTAACAACTATGAAAAAACAAATGTTCTTCGATTTATCAGAGTAGATATAATTTTTATTTATATACTTATGCCTTATTTCCAGATGCGGATTGAGGAGGTGGGGTGGGGGTAGTAGGGCTATAGCCCCGGGACTCATAATGTTAGGGGAAATAGTCAAGAGGACCATTCGGTATTTTTTTAATCATTTTTACGCTGTGGCACATAAAAAAGGCCGCCAAAATAATGCAGCCCCCGGCCCTGAAAAGTCCAAAAAGATTCAACCAATAAAACTAACGCTAGATGATTTATTTATAAATAAAAAAGTTTTTTCAATAACTGTTTTATGCTTCGTGTAGTTTAAAAAGTTTAACACATTTGAAACAATTCATCTTAGTAAGATAAACAAATGAAATAATTAAATCATTATGTTACTCTATAAATTCAATTAGCTAGATAGAAATTAACTAAAAATGTTAAATTTCTTTGTGAAGCAGAATTGCTTCACAATAACGCTGATGATGTTTAGTGAGTGGGCTTTATAATTTTAATTAGTATTTAAAACAGAAAAAAGTAATTTCAACGAGTTTGTAAGAATGGCTGAAGCAAAAACAATTGAAGTTAGTAAACCAATTTCTAAGAACTTAAAAACTTTTCTTTCTTGGGGGAAAGAATCAGTTATCGGTTACACTAAGGAAAATGGATTAGTGGTTAAAATTATTTGTATTAACTTTGACGAATATTAATAATTTCATTGAAAACGCAGTTATTATTGAAAGTATTTTAAAAAATCAATCGCACAAATTGCTTTAAAAGATTACATTTGAATAAAATACACATACATAAAACTACATAGATAAAAATACATTACATACATAAAAATACATTACATACATAAAAATACATTACATACATAAAAAATACATCCCTTATATATAAAAAATAAGAATATACTAATAAAATCTATAATATATTTACAAAACATTGACAAGTTAAAAAATATAAATTTTAAACATTTATTATTGTAAACAAATAATGTTAGCTTAAAACATTTATAGCTTTGTAGATGTGGCTCTAAGAATTAAAATAATAGTTCGTTTGATAGTATACTCTTAAAATAATTTATGCTAGAAATCTCACGAAAACGTAACAAAATTCAAATAATACAATTTTTTTAAATATTTCTACAGAATACTCAGGACATTCGGTTAGTATTTTTTAAATACTCTAGAAATTTCGGTTAGTATCTTTGGAACCATTAAAATTAGTTGTTCGTAGATTTGGCGGGTTTATTGTGTTCGCGAATATTCTTTTTTTTATTTTTCCACACTAAGATGTTTGAGAACATTCAAGTTTATGTATGTTTCCATGTAAGTCCGTAAAACAAAATATTTTAAAATTTATGATAAAATGAACTTATTATTTTGCGGACAAACAAGGAAACATACATAAACTTAAATGTTCTCAAAATGACTATAAAATCTGGCCAGTTTTTCGCAACTAAATATTATTTCCATGGTCAGTTATCAAGTGCGATCGCACCCGCTTCCTGACCAAGCCTGAGTGATGTAATTTAAGTAAAAAATATGTATCAAAAAAACAAGTTTATTTTTAAAAAGTTTTTATAAAAATTTTAAATTGGTATAGAATTATCTGCATTTTGTAAAAGTTTCTAATACAAACTGCTTTACTGATTCGCAGAAATAAGACCTATAAGTTGAATTTGTTTTTTTACCTTGTTTTCCGTGTAACATAAGTGCAAGTGGCATTTTTATTAATAAGTTTGCTCTTTTTTGGCCGAACACAAAACTTTTAAGCTTATTTTATTTATTAGACTAACAGCTTTCATACAAAATTGCTAAAAGTTTAATTTAAAAGTTTAAATAAGCTAATATTTGGTAAAGTTTTGGCGCGTGTAACGTAAGTTAAAAATGGAATTGCCCATATATGCAGGGATTATATTTTTCCCTATATTTCTGGAATTCTGGATATTTTTCTCAACTTTTAGTTTTTCCGGATATCTAAAATGTTTTCCATACATACAAGTTTAGGTACATATTTTTGTAATATATATATTTTTTAAGCTTTTTTACTCATTGCTCATACAAGAAATATGAGCTAATATTTTTACTCATTGCTCATATAAGAAATATACTCAAAAATTAATGAAACTAAAAAAAAAAAAATGGAAACAACTCAGCTAAAATCAAAATCAAGGGGAATATAAGGGAAAATGTATTCCGGATTTATTCCGCATATTTTACTGAAACAATTTCCGCATTTTTTAGAATACAACCAGGATGATCTATGCATGTTATTTTAATGTTTCTATTTTCTCATTAATAACTATAATAATGAATTATTAATAATAATTAAAAATAGATAAGCAATTAATTTTTTTTTTTCAGCGTGTTTTTAAGATGTGTCATTTTTAATAAATGCAAAAAAAAATCCTGGCCATGTTATCAACAAAAAAATATATATGCGTGGTCATTCAAGGCATGCGACAGCACGCATCTCCTGAGAAGGCCTGTCTTTAGTTTTTATTTTCCCCATTTTTGTGAAATACTCAAAATTGAATATTAGCAGTATTCCACTATTTTCTGTTTTGTAAACAGTTTGAACAGGAACTAGTTTTGAAATGCTGTCTACTGAAATCTGTTAAATGAACTAATTTTTTTTTTCCTTTTTGTAGTTACTTTTAGTGAACATACATAGAAGTAAAAAAAAAACAACACTTATTTGTGTAGGCATGTTTGCATAGTGTTTGCATTATCTTTCTCTACTTTTCTGTATGTACAGAAAGGTAGAGAAAGATAATGCAAAGGATTCAAATAGTATTTATAGGCTGCACCTGAAGTTCAATAATATCATTATTATTTTTTTATTAAAATTTTTTCAAAATTTATTATTTTGTTATTAAAATCTAAATAGTATAATGTAAATTTAATAATAACAACATCATCATTAACATAGAAAGGTAATTATTAACATACAGTTCTGTAACTTAAATGCATAAGATGTGAATAAAAAGACTATAAATTAAAGTATACTATACTATAGTATAATTTATTATTATATTATATTATATATATATATATATTAAATTATAATATACAATAGTATACTATAATTATACTGCACTTGTCGTATAATTATAGTAAAAAGACTATATATTATAGTATAAAGACTATATATTATAGAATACAGACTATATATTATTGTATAAAAACTATATATTATAGAATACAGACTATATATTATATTATACTAAAATACAAATACAGACAGTGTAGTAGCGGTGTAGATGTAGAGCATTTGCTTCATAAACAAGAAGTTCAAATTATTTAACACCATGTCCCTGGTTATACTGCACTTAACTTGTCTCACTTAAGCTTTATTAAGGTTTGTGTTTCAATGTTAAAGGGTTGAGAGAGGGTTGCAGTAACAATTTATTTAATTTCATACAACAATTAGCAGAAACACTTTCTTCAAAGTTTTATTAAGGTTTGTGCTTCAGTGTTAAAAGGTTGAGAGAGGGCTGCAACAATTATTGCAACTTGCAATTTAATTTCATTTGAACCTAAAAGAGAAAGAGAGACCGAGAATGGAATCAGGAGTAAAATAATGGCAGATACAAGAAAAAAGCAAGTTATTGATTTTGTAATGAATAAGTTATATAGTTTCAATGAGATTATAAGTAAAAATTAATCTTTTGAATGAAAGTAAACATTCTTTTAAAGTGCTGAAACTCACCAATATAGAAAAATATCAACATTATCTCAAGCTGTCATAAAAGAGAGATTGCATTCAAGGTTTACCCCTGTTTTAAGCAACTAAAAAGTGATGAATAGTGGTGAAAAGTGATGAAAAGTGGTCATATAAAGACTTGATATATATTACATAATTATTAGTGTATTTCACAAAAAGAGTGCTTAATGTTCGTAAAGAACAGAGCAGTAATAAATAAATAATAAAAAAAAACAAAACACTTATCTTACTTGAGCTTCTCCTGAGCTATCAGGAAGCTTACTGATGCTCCTGCTGAAGGAGAAACTGATGCTCCTGCTGAAGGAGAAACTGACAGCAGAAGCTCAAGTTAAATTAATGTTTTTTTTACTAATTTTATTAGTAAAAAAAACATTAATTTAATTTATTAATTTTATTTATAATTTTGCAGATCCCAATATAAAACCTACCTGGAACTTATTAGAAGCTTGATTCATTAGTCTATTTAAAGAAAACCATCCATTTCTAAGGTTTAACATTTATAAGGTAATTATTAGTAAATAATGATAAATAAATAATTAAAAAGTTTTATGTGTAAAACTGAATACAATACCAAAAATTTATTAAACTAAACTTTCAATTAATACCTCTCAAAGTTGCTATGGAAATCAACAAAAACCTTTTTTTTAAGTGAAGTTATACCTTCAGATGCCTGTAAAGTTATATATATATATATATATATATATATATATATATATATATATATATATATATATATATATATATATATATATATATATATATATATAATATATATATAGTAAATGTAAGTATAGAATCATAATATATAAAGTATTTTTTCTAGCCCTGGTTATCAACCCTAATAATAGTAGGATATAAATATATATATATATATATATATATATATATAATATATATATATATATATATATATATATATATATATATATATATATACACATATATATATAATAAATAGTAAATGTAAGTATAGAATCATAATATATAAAGTATTTTTTCTAGCCCTGGTTATCAACCCTAATAATAGTAGGATATATATATATATATATATATATATATATATATATATATATATATATATATATATATATATATATATATATATATATATATATATATATATATATATATAATAGTAGGATATATATATATATCCTACTATAAAACCAATATTTAAGCGATATTTAAATGTCATTTAAAAATTAAAACAATTAATAAAACGCAGAAGTACATTAAATTTTATTGTTATTTAAAAAACTGCATTAATAATGACTAGAATTTTTTAATAATGACTAAAATTACAACTAATAATGACTAAAATTTTTTAATTAATGGTATTTTTGTTTTTGTTTTTTTGTTTTATAATATTTTTAAAACATGCGAGGAGTGTTGCTTTTTTACTGTAAAACATGTGCAGAGTGTTGCTACATTGACTATCATATAGCCTGCTGCTACAAGGGAGTGCTGCAACAAAGGAGGTGACCCGGGACCCAGCTTCAGCTAAAAATGTGACTTTTTGCAAACCTGGCCCCAGCTGCAGCAAAATTATAAGATTTAACAGGGGTTGATAACCAGGACTAGAAAAAATACTTTATGTATTATAATTCTATACTTACATTTACTATTTATTAAATACTGAGATATATTTATATATTTTTAAACTCTTATTCACTTTCAAAAAGGTAGCAAGCAAACACTATTAAGTTATGAACTACATTTAAATAGAGGGTAGAGTTAAATAGCTAGGAAATGGTTAACTGAAGACTTAAAAAATTGAAGGTTGTATAAAAAAGGAAAACATGAAGATGGCTAAAATTTATAAGGTTTTTTTGATGTTAAGGAAAAAAACTGGATTAATAAAAGTTTTTATAGCGTCAAGGGAGAGATAAAGTAAAAGGATGCAACTTGTTGAATAAGAAGCCAAGCAAGAATGAGTTTTGGTTGATTTAACTAGAGAAGATAGCTCATTTGAGCATTGACCACGATAGTGCTCGTACAAAAAAGTAAGGAAATGCAAACATACAACAATGGGAGAGCGGCTAAAGCTTGGCAGATAAAGCAGGTCTAATTACATTTATAATGTGCTTTTAGACTTTGTCTGAGAGTAAGAGGGTTGTTATTCGTCAATATAGAAATGCCAACAATATTGCAATATTTTTTGCAGTAAATAAATGAATTTTGTTGTCTGACAAAATTTGGATTTTATTATTTTGTTGTCTGACAAAATGTGGATTTTAAGCAGACTTAAAATCCACAAGCCACTGCAAGCCTCAGGCTGTTACAGAAGACAAATCAAAATTGATCGCTTGCTCTAAGCAATCAAAAAGTGATTTTTGACTTTTTGCCAAGATAAGAGTATAAATGAGTTGTCCGCAAATAGAGCCACTTTAGATGTAAAATTTTCATGAAGATTGTTATTGTAGATAAGAAACGATACAGGAGCAAAGAATTTTAAAACATTTACTAATAATTAGCCCAGTCGACGTTCAATGTTCAACATCGCATACATCATTAACTGGTAAATTATTTTATAACCTCTTCATACTTTTAATGTTAATTCCTTGGTGTTTTTTATTGAAATATATATGTATTCAAATTGTGTTGGTTTTTTGTCATAACTTTAATAAATTTAATGTTCTGATTTTATATAATACAAATATTTTAATGTGCTACAAATAAGTAATAAAAAAATGGAAAACAAATAAAAAATCTTTAATATTTTATGTATCATATGCTACTTATTTTGTCACATTGTTTATTATATTATTAACATTCCAGTGATGCTGTTAAATTTTTTTTTCTTTATAGTTTAGAAAAATAAATTAAACTACAACTTTTTTTTGAACATTTTTTTGAACATTGTTATTTCATTGTTTGTGAAAGTTAAAATTATTTGCATGATTTATACAATTTTTTAAAAGAAATAATATTTAAGTTTACAAAAAGGAGTTTACAAAGCTTTTTTTTTAATTTTTCTATATTAGCAGTATGTTTATTATTAGAATTGAAGGTTTTAAATAATTTTTTATTTGTTAATTATTTTTTTTTAGATTAATTTTTTTAAATTTAAATAAAATAATTTAGACTTTAATTTTTTGTTTAAACATCTCCTAGCTGATATGTTTTTTTTTAAAAGCCATAAGATATTGTATAATTTATTTTAAGTGTTGCTTTAATGAAACACAATACAATCGAAGAATAAAGTCCTTGGTATTATCACACTTCTAGATTGACTAAAATCACATATGCAGATTTGCAATAAGCTATAATAAGATATAATTAGGAATAAATGATTTTAAAACTTATTCAACTTTTACACAACTATTTACGTAAAAAAAATTTTAATTTAGTAAATTTAAATGGTTTATTTCCTAATTAAAAGGCTTTTTAAATATCTCTGATTAGCAAATAGCAAATACCAATAATCATTTTTGAAATCCAATTAAATTTTCAAGTTTAATTTAGTGACTATCAAAACTATGAATATCAATATAAATTCTGAAATTCTGAAGAGTAATTATTTCTTCTATTCATCAGAATTAATTTTCTAATTTTTTCTTCTTTTTTTATTCCTTATATCATTTTTTCCTTTTTTTTTTTCCTTATATCAGCAATATTATTGCAATGAATGAATGATCTTTAACAAATTAATTTTTTTTTTCAAAAATCAAAAACTGAATATATAACAGAGACAAAAGAGAGAGAGAGAGAGAGAGAGAGAGAGAGAGAGAGAGAGAGAGTTAATGGAGACTGGAAAGACAAGATACCCTTTCAATTTAAACACAACTAATATCATATTTAAAATCTGTTGAAAAGAAAAAACACTGGAATTGTAATTTGCAACTAAAAATTAAAATTTAAACTAAATAGTACATTGCTTGTAAAATGAAAATGAATGATTAGAGATGAAATGGAGAATGAATGGCTGGAGATGGAAAATAACAACAATTTAGCTACATGATTAAAATGGATGAGAACATGTATAAATTCATCTTTTATGTTCATGTGCATTTAGAAGAACATCTTTTAAACATCTTTTACATTTTTTTAAATACTACATTAAAATAAAACTCTTTTTATTTCAAAATTTTAAAAGCTTTTTTTTATTTCAAAATTATTTTAAAATCTTTTTGTTTCATAGAAAAAGCATTCCATTAAAAAATTAAAAAAACATTTTAAAAACTGAATATAATTATAGCATTTAAACATAGCTAGAGAAACTTAAACAGTTTCTCTAGCTATTTTAAAAAAGAATTAAAAGAAAAAAATTAAAATCACTTGAAAATTAACAATTAAAAAAATTCTCTTTGCTTCTTATGACTTTAGTTGGTCTTAATAAATTATATCAATAATAAATTGATTAAATACGAATGAATGAATTGATAATTGCTTAAATTTTTTTAAACTATTTTGTAACAAGTAAATTGCTTAAGATAAATAAATAAATATAGATAAGCGGTTGTTAAAAAATTGTGACATTTTAAAACATATTTTACAAATATTTTTCACTGGATAGTATATAACTCTGAGCATCACTATCTGCTGGGAAATTTAACTGAGGCGGTGTACTGTAATGTTTATGCATTATTTGATAGAGATATAAGTAGCAAAGTTCAATAAAAGGTAACCCCTTTTATTGAACTAGTTTAAAATATATATATATATATATATATATATATATATATATATATATATATATATATATATATATATATATATATATATATATATATATATATATATATATATATATATATATAAAACTTTAATATGTACTTAATAATTAAAGGATTTTAAACTATTTTTAAAATGGTATACAATGAAATTTCCAAAATTCTCTATATATTATTGCCAAACTTAATCCTGTTAGTGTCAGTAATGTCCATTTAAGCGTGTTTGACATGGAACCCTTGGCACCCATTGCAACCAAGGTAGTGGTGAGAAAGAATGGCAGGACATTTTGTTGAAAACATTAACAGTGTATGAGAATATCTATCATACAAAACACACTGAAACATTTATCAAGTTTTACAGTTTGACTTTCACTTGAAAACTCTGTTGCAGCAACATTTGTTTAATTTTGATCTAGACCATTTCTGTTAAAAAAAATCTTTATATATTAAAATTTTTTTTTGCAAGTCAACGTGATTATTATAAAATACAAAGTGCTTTTGAAGTTTTATAGAAATTATAAACAAACATATGTGACGATATACACATTAAGAAATGAAAAGATTTTTAAAAAAGCTAAAAATTCTAAAAACATCAAAACAATGGAAAAAAAGTTGCGTATGTATGATGATTGAGAATTTAGTTTAGTAAAACTTGAAAATTTTAAGTATAGTATATTGGTGTTTGCAAAGGAACATTATATGAATCATTTTTTTATATAAACTAACTTTTTGTTTAACTTTATTGTATAGGCAGGTTTATAAAATGTAAAAAACCCACTTATATAACATTTTATTAAGGATCGTATGTAATATAAGTAAAATTGATAAGATTGAATATAAGTAAAATTGATAAGATTGAAAAAACACAAAACATATTATCTCATCCAAGTAGAAAATTTGAAACTTCAATTTTAGGTTTGCCACTCTTTGGATAAATTCTAATTGCTAAAATTCCGTCATTTGCTTCTTAGACCATTAAAAATAATAGGCGCAGCTTTTTCGTAAATCGTTGAAGCCACAATTTTTTGCGCATGTGACATCACTTTTTGGCCAAAAAATAGAAAAACAAACTAAAAATAAAATTTTATTTAAATTTTTTAAAAAACTTTTTCTATTAAAAATATATGGAATATATTTTTATGGAATATATTCTAATAAAGACAAAAACTATTTATCTATTCCTATTGTAATAAATACAAACTCTTAACCATGAAATGATATATTGTACCAGTTTTATATCTTTTTGTGCAATAATATGCAACATTATTAAAATTAATCAAAAAATGTAAGATAAATGCAAAAGGAAACTTGATGCATAAAAGTTTATTTTGCCACAAACTGAAGTCAATGCGCAAAAATTTTTGGCTTGACTATTAGATTAGCATTTAATAGCTGAGGCTATTATTCTTTAGTTTTTATTTATAATCATAAGAATAAAATTTTTTTTTTATGACTATGTTTTAGTGGTTGAAGATCTTCTTAGTTACATTTGTATAGGGTTACGTACAAACATCTGTAAGTGTAAACGCCTTTAGTATGTTGAGTTTGCAGGCATTTTATGGAATAATCACACATAATATATCTATAAAATGAAAAAACTTTAAAATTTTATTTTAAATTTTAGAAATTTTTTTTGCTATATTATTATTGCATTATAGACTTTTTTGCTAAGTTATCATTGAAATGCATTTAGCAGAAAAACAAACCTAATTATAAGTCTCTTATAAGCTTTATGTATGCGGAAAAGGTGCACATGTTAAGTTTTTTGCTCTTAAAGTTTTTTTTTAGAATAAATTATTTCACAAAAAAATATTGAAGTAAATAAGGAATAGGCATATAAATAATTGGTGTGGAATAGATATGTATAGAAATGTTAGGTTTGGTAAAGACCAAAATTTTACGAATCCGGGAAGCTAGGATATAATAAGGAAAAAGAATAGAAAAGTTCGGTTTGGAATAGACTTACAAAGACCTGTATTTTTACGGGTCCAATCTCAGCTATTTATCATTAATACTTCAAACCTTTTTTTATTAGTCATGGTCAGCAATGTTAACTGTTGTTTTATTTAAGAATTGAGATGTCAAGTTGGTAAACTTTGACTAATTTGTTAAACCTTCATTAAGTTATCAAGTCTACATCTACCAGTAAAATACCAGTTCAATTTATAATTTATAATCATTAAAACTAAAATTTATAATCATTAAAACTAAAATTTATAATTATTTATTTTAAAAAATAATAAGATTTTAATGATTACAAAACTTTATTTTTAAAACAAACTTTAAAAAACACAGAATGATGGAATGGAGTGAACAAAAAACAGTTAAAAATCAAGTTAAACATGGCAGATTGCTCTCAGATAGCTTTTAATTAGCTGTTTTAACCAAGCCAAATCCAATTCCATTGATTTTCCGAGTCTAGGTTAATCTTGCAATGTTAAGCTGCGCTTGTGTCTTTTACCTCAGAACCCTGACTTACCAATAACAATAAAATGCAATAAATGACTTACAGATATATATATACATATTAATAACAATAAATAAGCAAAAATAAGATTTTAAAAGTTAATAAATAAAAATTACTAAAAAAGCAATATGAGAACAACAAATATATATATATATATATATATATATATATATATATATATATATATATATATATATATATATATATATATATATATGTATATATGTATATATATATATATATATATATATATATATATTTGTTGTTCTCATATATATATACATATATATATATATATATATATATATATATATATATATATATATATATATATATATATATATATATATATATATATATATATATATATATATATATATATATATATATACTATATATATATATATATATATATATATATATACATATATATATATATATATATATATATATATATATATATATATATATATATATATATATATATATATATATATACATATATATATATATATATATATATATATATATATATATATATATATATATATATATATATATATATATATATATACATATATTGCTGATTTTAAACTTACTTTGTCAACAGCTTCTGTAAGTTCAGGAATAGTAATAACACACTTTGCCTTCGAGGCAAGTAAACGGTTCTGAAAATCTTTTACTCTTAAAGAAGATGTTCCAGGACTTATTATGGCTCCTAAGTGATCAATGATAATAATAATAACATATCTAAATTTCAAGATATGGAAACTATTTTTAAAAGCAGATCACAATTAAATCAAATTAAAATTTTGTAGGAAATTTTTTTTAAAGTATTTAAAAACAATTTACTAGAAACCTTTTGAGTTAAAAAATAAATATTTTGTTTTTTGAAGTTACTCTAAATGCATTTGCAGTAAAAACAATTTAAAAACCAAAAAAGGTTTTTCAATCAAAACAATTTTTAAAATGACAAACACTATTTAAAATGCAAAAATTTTAAATATTATAATATGTAATAAAATATTTTTCTTAAAAATCTACTATTATTCAACTTAATTTCTCATAATGATGGACTTTAATCATTATCAAGAGAAAATCTGATGTGATACTTCCATCCAAGTGAAACCTTTGTGAATACTGTAAATAAATTTATCTGTTTTCTTTTTGTAAGATATATCAAGTTTCATCCCAAAACAGCATTCAGCAACAAAATCAAGCAAAGGCTAATCCAATATTTGAAAAAAGTAGTAATAATATATTTAAGTCTCTTAACATTATGTAGACAGGAGATCTGGTCAACCCTGCCTATTTATACAAACTAAATAAATTTATACAAACTAAACTTAAAAGGTGTTAAAAACTATATAATTTTTTTTTTTAAACCTCAAGGTTTCATTACCTTGCAGATATTTAAATAAAGAATGAAGTATTATTTTATCGGAAGATTCTAAAACTTTTGCACAGTATGTTATTGGTCTTATAAGCAATCAGGCACCGTTCACTTAATTGGAAAACCCTGCCTATTGCTAAGTTTTATATTTGTAGCATTAGCAACAAGAAATAATTCTTTTAGCGCACAAAAAACAACTTTGTCATCAAAATTTTGATTCTTTGAAGTAATTAAGGCATGCAGAATTAACAATTTTTTTTAAAGGGTGATAAATACTAAAATTAACTACTGGGCAGTATTTTGATTATTTTATAATTTAATGGAATCTTTCTAGTTTCTTTGGGAATTTAAAAAGATCTTTTTAGTTTCTTTGTATAATTAAGAATTTTTTTAGTTTCTTTGTAAAATTAAGTCAATGACTTCTTCTAGTATATAACACAAGAGAAGTTTTAATCTTCATGTTTCTCAACTTTCTTCTTGTACTCTTATCAATATTTAATTTAAAATCTTAATACTTTTACATAAACTGTTGCTACTTGCTTTGAAAAAATCTATTCCATAAAAGAACTATTTCATAAAAACAGAATTTCTTATTCCTTTTTACACAACAACTTGCTAAAACTACTATGCATTTGGTTATTTTTAGCAAAAAGCAATGCTTTTGAAATTTCTCCCTAGTTATTTTCTGGTTCAAATAACAAGGAAGTGGAAAAACTAAATAAAGATCTCCCTAATATATTTGAAAGAATCTATAATGTTATACTTTTAATATTTCAAAGAATCTATAATATTATATTTTTAATATTTCAAAGAATCTATAATATTATATTTTTAATATTTCAAAGAATCTATAATATTATACTTTTAATATTTCAAAGAATCTAAAATATATTTTTAATATTTTGAAGAATTTATAATATTACATTTTTAATATTACGAAAAATGTATAATATTATATTTTTAATATTTTGAAGAATGTATAATATTATATTTTTAATATTTCAAAGAATCTTAAGACAGAGTATTGAAAATAATCTGGGTAGTTATAAGGAATTTTACATTTAAATGACAGTGTAGAATATCAGGGTGATAGCCAGGAAAATATTTTAAACAGCGTTTTTGTAATATTGGGAATTTAAGTGTTGAAAATAAAAAAAAAATTATTGCATTCTGACATTTAAAAAACAGGTTTAAGACAACTCATGGTTTACACACACGGTTTTTTTAATTTATTTATATGAGCAAATTATGAAGTAGAAAAATTGGACATTTTTTAGATAGATAAATATCATTGAAATGATTTTTTTTGGGGTGAGTTATACCCACAGCAGGAATAATTTTATATTTTATAAATGTTAAATTGTAATTATTCTTATTTTATTCTGAGCAATCTTCTTAAGTTTCATATTTTTAATTCTTAAGTTTTTATTATCTTTTTAATTCTTCTTAAGTTTTTATTTATACTTAAATCGCTTCTCTTCTTTGAGTGATATAATAGAGAGAAGAGTACAAAAAGACACAGAAAAACCCAAGACAATTGTTTGCAATTAAAATTTGAATAAATGATCTATTTTAATTGCATACATCGCTTTTAAATACAGTTTTAAAAAGTTTTATTATATATAAAAGTGATTATTTACACATATTGTCTTCTTTTATATTTATTTTCATTTTTAAATCATAAATGTAAAAAAAAAAAAAATGCTTAATAGAATTAATTCATTAACAAATTGTTTTGATTGTTTCCATGGTCTTCTTGTAACTTTTTAAATGTCTGAAACAACTTTTTAATTGACGACTGTCGATTAAAACACTATATATTGTATGGAAAGATATTTGTATTTTTGTTCATCTAATTTTATATTATAATTTTTATCATTAAATAAACTTATGTGTATAAATTTTAAATAAATTTATAGTGATTTAAAATTGCATTAAATATAAAATAAATTATTATATTAAATATGATGTTTACAGCTTTTACTTTACAGCATTACTTATTATTTATTAATATGCAAACATTTTTGTAACTTTCTTAACTTAAGATAAACATTAAAAAGTAAATGAAGAGACTTTAAATAATAAGTATAAGTATAAAAAATTATTAATTAAACACATTAAAAAATTTAAACTAGAGAATAACTGATGTTATTCAATTAAAAAACAAAGAATGAATGATCTTGCTTGTTTATGACAATGCCTATTATCACATTAAAAAAAAATCAACGTGCATATTAATTTCGTGCATACAAGCATCGTACATCTTCATCCTGCATACTAACATCGTGCATAACTAATTACATTTTCTACGTGTCTTTCTACTATGATCTTTTGAACCTTTGGGAATTCCGGTTCTGTCAGGCTGGCTAACACCCTTAAAATATCACTTTGTTCCAAGAATTAATATATATATATATATATATATATATATATATATATATATATATATATATATATATATATATATATATTTTTTTTTTTTTTTAACTAACAACAACATATTTAGATATAATGTAATGTGTATATGTAATGTCTTGAAATAGTTTATATAATATAATTGTTTAATAAATTTAAATAATATATTTATTTATGTTTACTCTGTTTCTCTACAATCTTTTTTAGTATTTTTATAAACTCTATAACCTTTTATAGTAATTATTAATTTTAGTATACTACCAACATATTAAGGTTATGTTAAGTTATTGATGTTAAGTTACTACCTGTTTGAAGACATGCAATATTAATAAGCCACCACTCAGGAAGTTGAGGAAGTACAACCATAACACAATCTCTGAACTGAATATCAAACACCTCTGATAAAATGTTTGAAACTCTGAAAATAAATACAGATAAAATAATTTTAATTATATACATAAAAATTATATTATTCAAAAATACTAATTTTCTTGTTGCAGAAAAAAGCGTTTTTTAGAAAAGTTGAAATTTCAACATAAAAAAAGATTTTTATTATGGCTGGCAAAAACCTTAATATTTTCTCCAGCTAAATATTGCTGGATATAAAAAAGGGAGTTTAAAATAACAAATAAAACATTGTTGCATATATAAAAAAAAAGTTTTTAATAATAAAATAAAACATTGTTGCATATATAAAAAATTTGATTACATAGATTTAGTAAACAAATTTTAAATTTAAAAATGTTAAATTTAATTTAAAATTATTAATTTCAATTTTAAAATAACTAATGATTTTATTTAGACTAAAGACAATGTTATTTAGACTAAATGGCAATAAATTACTTCAATATTTTTAAATAAAACTTTTCTAATATTTAATTAATATTCTTATAAATGCCGAATTATACTATTGTTAAAAATTAAACAAGTTAATTTAAAATACATTTAGAAAACAACTATTCATCTAAAATGTCTTAGATTTTACTCAAACTTTTTAAAACAATTAAAGGTTGAAAATAATGATGTTTCCAACCTCCATTTTTAATCTAATAAAAAATTTTAAACATACAAGTTCAAACTATTAATATTAATATTATGAAATCTTATTTTTAAAGCATACAGTATTTTTTATTTACAAAGTTCAGTTAACTATTAAGAAAATAAACAGAAAAAACAATTGAGTCATATTGACCGCCCATGTTTAGTTTTTGAATTTGCATGATGACATATTGTAATTAATCAATACATGTACAAATATAAATAAATTTATTATACAATTTTACTTCAATATAACAATTTTTAAATTTTTTTACTTAAATTCTCAGAACTAGTAAATTTATTATTAAACTAAAGGGTAATTTTTAAATTATTAATCTTATATTTCTTTATTAGTAAATTTATTATTAAAAGTAACCATTACTAGCTAATGGCTATTCATTTGCAAAGTAAAAATCCATTTTGGGATTACTTCGACAACAAACTCACAAAACAATAACAACAAAATCTCAAAAAATCACAATATTGCGATGATTGCTTTGACTAAGACTGTTAGATGTCATTTTATGTTCTAAAACATCAGATGTCTGTTAGCCCTGAAACTACATCAGATGTTTGTTAGTCCTAAAACTACATCAGGTGTCTTTAGCCCTGAAACCTGAATCAGATGTCAAATGTCTGTAATACAAATTTGTATTACTCAAACAATATGCTCAGAAAATAATAAAACACTTTGTCATAAAATATTCCTTTAAGGAATTTTTTATGACAAAGTGTGAAAGAAAATTTAACTATATCTAACTTATGTAAATTTAAAACCATGTAAATGTTAAAATTTATTATAAGTTTTACAGTTTTACTTTTTTCTTGAAAATTGCATAGTGGTATGTCCTATAATGTCTTTTATATCTGATTTATTGCATTTATTTGTCTAATTTATAAAGATATAATATAAATATAATTTATATTATATCTTTATATAATATAAATGCATTTGCCGAGGTTCAAACCCTTCCACTTTTAATTTTTTTCTTAAACTTTTCTAATTTTTTCAAATACAAAATAAAACTAATTCTAGATATACTATATACATAAGCCATACATTTCTATAGAAACCATGCATTTCTATAGAAACCATACATTTCTATAGAAACCATACATTTCTATATAAACCATACATTTCTATATAAACCTTACATTTCTATATAAACCATACATTTCTATAGAAACCATACATTTCTATATAAACCATACATTTCTATAGAAACCATACATTTCTATAGAAACCATACATTTCTATAGAAATGGGTGGATGGGGAGCTTAATTAACAGGAGGCAGAGATTTAAAAAAAAACTTAAAATTTTTAAAAACATCAAAATACCATAAGAAATTTGTAGTGCATTTGTCATTTATAGCAGCAATATTTATAGTTGCGATGTTATATTTGTAGTATATTTATAGCGATACCTAAATTTTTATATATGTGTTATTATAATTAAGTCAGCATTTAACACGCATTTAAGAGATAATATGTTTCTTAAAGGAAAAAAAATTACACATTCAAACTTTTATTTTCTTCAAAATTAATAAACGGGGCAAAGTTCCTAATAAGCTGCAAATGAACATAAAAAATATTTAATAGAAACTTGATTGAAACTTAATAAAGAAATTCAAAAGACCCTCCCGTTTTTGTATAAGAAGTTTATAATTTTACAACAAGAAGTTATAAAGTTAGGATTGTCTGCAAAAATATTTGAATCCTATTTTAGTGAAACCTGTCATAAATACACTACAAAATTGAAACCTGTCATAAATACACTACTACAAGATTGAAACCTGACATAAATACACTACAAGATTGAAAAACAACTTTGTTAAAAAATAAAATATAGTTAGAAATTGAGCTCATACTTAATTAAGTATTGTGGGCCATATCTATGGAAAACATTCTAAGACATATCTATAGAAAACATTCTCAGACATATCTATGGAAAACATTCTCAGACATATCTATGGAAAACATTCTCAGACATATCTATGGAAAACATTCTTAGACATATCTATGGAAAACATTCTCAGACATATCTATGGAAAACATTCTCAGACATATATATGGAAAACATTCTCAGACATATCTATGGAAAACATTCTCAGACATATCTATGGAAAACATTCTCAGACATATCTATGGAAAACATTCTCAGACATATCTATGGAAAACATTCTCAGACATATCTATGGAAAACATTCTCAGACATAGCTAATAAAAAGATCTCTAGATCTATTTAAAAAGGAATCAACCAGAAACCAGTTCTTTTTATTTTTATGGATTATACTATGATTGATTTTAAATGTTTCATTTTAATAAAGTTTAACTCAAATATAAAAATTAAGATAAATTAAAAAAAAATTGATTACCAAGATCAGTATAACAAAGTTTATTATTGATATAATCTCTCGTTCAGAAATATAACAGTATAGTAATCACTTTGTTGTAACATTTGATTGCAAGTTTGCCACACAAGTGTTGGTATATGGGGCTGCTTTAAACTTAACATAGCAGGTATGTGTAATATTTATACAGGAATATAATCAACAACATACATTTATATAGAAATGCTAGAGAACTGCATAGTTCCATTAGTAAACATGTTGATTGATCAAAACAAATGATGGCGATTTCAACAAGATTTGATGTCTGCCCACACAGCTCAGCTACAGTAAAAATATGAATGAAAGAAAACTTCTCTTAACTCTAAACACAAACCTTGACGAGCAAGGTTTGTGTTTGGAGTTGAGAGAATTTCTTGCTTATGAAGCAACCTAACACTTCACCACTACCGCAAGAATTGGAGATATTTGAAGAAAAGTTTCAAATAAAATTTGCAACAATCTTGTTAAATCAATGCAAAAAAGATGTGTTGGTTGCAAAAAATCTTGTAGAGGATATTTCAAATATTAGTTATATCTTATTTTTGTTGTATTAATTTTTTATATTTCTTTATTGCAAAATTGTTCCTTTATTGGTATTTTTTGTAAATATGTTCGATAACATTTTTATATATAGTTTTATGTTTTAGTATGTCATCCAAAATTGCAAGGTTTGTTTAGAAAAAAAATTTCTCCTAAATTAAAAAAAATTTGTTCATTATCTTCTTTAGTTTCAATTTTATGATAGTTTGTATATTTTCAATGTACTATATATATATATATTGCCCACAATACTTACCGGATGACCGAGCAACAGCGTAACGCAAAAAATATAAAAGTTTGAAAATACACAAAAAATTTATTTCAATTCATAACTAACTAGAATTTTGACTAGATGTTTATTCATGACTAAGGTTTAAAATTAATGGATTTAAGGTTCAAATCTTTCATAACTTTTTGCATTGTGGAGTTGGCAACATTGGCTTCCCTTGCCAACTGGCGGATGGAGTGCAATGGATTTCGCTTGACTTTTCTTTTGACAGACCTTTAAAGCTGAGGTGATCGTTTCACAGGTTTTGGCTTATTAAAACGTCGTTTGATATCTCCTGTTTCATGAAAAAGTTTTCTTACTGGAAAAATTGCTGTTCTGGAGCAGTTTAAAGTTGATATCTGAAGTAGTCTTATTCGATTGCAACATTTACAGAGTGCTTAGTCTTTTTGATTCTTGCAGATCCATTTTAATTAAATTTTTTTAGTTTTTTTATTTCTGTGTTGATATCATATATATATATATATATTATATATATATATATATATATATATATATATATATATATATATATATATATATATATATATATATATATATATATATATATATATATATATATATATATATATATATATATATATATACACAATACTGTATATATATATACACAATACTGTATATATATATACACAATACTGTATATATATATACAGTATTGTATATATATATATATATATATATATATATATATATATATATATATATATATATATATATATATATATATATATATATATATATATATATATATATATATATATATATATATATATATATATATATATATATATATATATATATTTATATATATACAGTATTGTAAAAAAGTTAAAAACCACTAAATTAAAAAAAAAAAAATTTTCAGATAAAATTAATAATTATTCTAAAGATAATAAAATAGTCTTTTTTGAAAACATATTAAATAGAGAAAAAACATGAAAAAAGATTTTTTTTTTTGTGAAAATTAATTAATAGAACCTATAAAAATAAGGATTAAATATTATGTGTTAATTTTTTTCAATTTCTTTTTGTGAAAAAGTTAAAAGCCACAAAGAATTTTTTGTGCTAAATGCGATGGAACTTTTTTAAATTGATTTTTACCTTTTTTTATTTAAATATTCTATTAATGAACTCATTACCACTATTCTATTAATGAATT